GTAAGGATTTTGAAGCTCCATCTCACATACATTGGGCTTCTGACATGTAGGCATCAGTCCTTGGAGAGGGCCGTCATACTTGGAAGGCTGGAGGAACAGCGGGAGATTAAGACTCAAGATGAGATGGATTGGCACAGTAACTGGGGTATCAAGGGTAGGTGTGTCAGAGTCAGTGAGAGTGGCTCAGAGTAGAAAAGGGTTCAGAGCTATTTTACATAGGGTCCCTGTGAGTTGTAGGTGACTCGATACACATAACAACAACAGTGGCCTCAAATTTATAGTCTAAAATTATGAAAGTTGATACATTAAAGATTTTACAATCTCTAAAAATTTGCTGGAGGGTCAACTCTGTCTGCTCAATTAAGGATAAGACTAATATATCCATAACTAGTAGTGTTCTATCATACATGTTAAATTTGTGTTGAAAATTGTGGTTAATAAGAAAAAAGAAAGAGGTAAAACACACACATAGACACTCACACATATTACAAATTATGAGGTCAATCTTCATTGTCTTTTGACTCATGACAATCCTGTAAAATAGACCAGAACTACCGTCTTAGGTTTCCAAGACTGTAAATCTTTACAGCAATAGACTACCTCTTCTTTCTCGAGAAAAGGGTCTGGTGGATCCCAAATGCTCACTTTCTGGTGAACAGTCAAACTGCTTAATCATGGTGCTTCCAAATATTCATAATATCTGATAAGATATTTTAAATCATAAAAGGGCTATGCAAATAAAAAAGAAATTATTTTGGTTTCTTTAAGAATAAGGTAAAAAATGTTTCACCTTACCAATAAGGGAAGACAGACTGAAACAATGATTCATATTTTTCTAAAATAAAAATAAAGCAGTAAAACAACAATTAAGTTCAAGTTGTAGCAGAACACTAAAATATGGATGTTCTCATATATCTCTCATAAGAGTGAAAGTTGGCTTAGTATTTTAGAAGGAATTTGGCCACATTTAACAATATTATTAAAAATATTCAAATTCTATCAGTAAGTAATTTAAACACTTATTATTTTAAAGGAAAATAATAAATATATGAAAAAATATAAATATATAGCAATTGAAGAAAAGTTCTATTAGTAATATGGAAATAATTCAATAAAATTTGTTTGACAAAATTAGATTATTAAGTATTATGTATTATGTATATATACATACATACCTGAGTCTGATGTACAAATAAAAAGTAAATCTCTTTTTTTGTGTCTTTTTGTATTCTAGTGTGATCGTTGCTTACCTCTTTATAATGACAAGCCTTTCCATCAAGGAGATCAAGTTCATACCTTCAACTGTAAACCCTGTCAATGCAACAACCACACAAGAAGCTGCCACTATGACATTGCAGTGGACCCTTTCCCATCTGAGCACTACAGAGGAGGTGGAGGAGTTTGTGATAATTGCGAGCATAACACTACAGGTGAAGATGAAATTATACAAACTTGTCTATGTGGTGAGAGGCATTGAGGCTGAGTGCATGCATATATACTCCTAGGAGGCAAGGATGATTGGTGAAGCTGTGGTGTGGGAGAAAAGGACTAAATAGCCAATGGGCTCCGAAAGAAAGTACAACCAGTGTGTTCCTTGGAGACGAAGATGACAAAGCTTCATCTCACATATTTGGGTATGTTGTTTGGAGACACTATTTGGTGAGGGACATCATGCTTGGAAAAGCGGAGGGTCACTGAGGGAGAGGAGGATCCTCAACCAGCTGGAATGACACAGTGACTACAGCAATGTGCTCAAATACATGGGAAGTGATAAGGATGACGCAGGATAGGTCAGGGTTCTGATCAATTGTTCATAGAATAATTGAGTTGTACTCAACTTGATGGCACCTAATAACAAACATCACCACCACCCCATCACACACACACAAACACACGGAGTTCTGATGGCCTAGTGGTAAGATGTCACACTGTAATCCTAAAGCCATGGCACCTGCTCTGGGGCAGAAGGATGAGTAATTTCTTTCCATGGGATTAACCGCCTCTGAAAACCCTCTGTAGGGTCATTTTATAGGTTGGTTTCAAAGCAGTAGCAGAAAACCAAACAATATACATATGTGTATGGAGCCCTGGTGGTCTAGTGTGTAAGGAGTTGTGCTGGGAGCCCAAAGATAGGCAACTTTAATTCACCACCTGTTCCACAGGAGAAACAATCTCCTTCCATACTATATATTGCTTCTGAAAGCCCACTGGAGGATCGGCTATGAATTGTCTCCAACTATAAGGCACATAATAACAACAATATATGCACACACATAAGCACACACACACGCACACACGCACACACACAAACAATACAGTCTCTTTGGATTACTTTATTACTATTATCTTATTTTACTTAAATCCATGTGTCCATCAAAAACTTTTTCCAACAGGGTGAAAAGAAAACCTACAGACTGTGAACAAACATTTGGTAATACCATCTAGTGTAATTTTTATAGTGTTTTCTGTGATCTATTTTGGTTTTTTCTTTCTCCTCTGGCTTTGTAATGACTTTTTACTCTTTTCATAAATGATAGTCTTAATGTCAAAAAAAAGAAGGTAGTTTCTTATTATTAACAAATGGTTGTTAGCTACGTGATTATTATTTTAAAATCTTAATTAGGTAGATTTCAGAAACAGAAATTGAGATGTAAGAGTGTATGATTTCAAGAAGTATATTTGCCTTTGTTTGTTGGTTGTTAATTTTTAAGGATTTACATCATTCAATTAACCATTATTATGTTTAGGATAAGTCAGGAATGCTTCATTTGAATGCAGAAAACTTTATAAGTTCCCCCATGTGTCTCCTTTGTCATCATTACATCCTTCTCCTCATGTAAAAAATGTTTGCATTTAATCTAGTTTTACATAGAAACTATGAATCTAGAGTTATTCTTATTTAAAAGTTAATGAAATGCACAAGGTAATACCCCTAATCTTCTGAAATAATAACACATTTTTTTCTCATCAACTAAAATTGTTATTTTATGAAAGACTAGTACTGTAAGAGCAGAGATAGGTAGCATCTACATTTAGAAACAGAGTAGTCCAACACTGAGGATTTTTTGAAATGTGTTAAGGGGGTCGATCGAACATACAATCAAGATGCATTGATAATAATGGGTGACTGAAATGCAAAAGTTGGGAACAGAGAAGAAGAATCAGTAGTCAGAAAACATGGACTCGGAGCCAGAAATGGAGCTGGGGATAGAATGATTGAATTTTGCACAATCAATGACTTATTCATTGCAAACACATTTTTTAAGAGACATAAAGGCAGGTTATACACATGGATCTCACCTGACGATATGCAAAGGAATCCGATCTATGACATCTGTGAAAGGAACTGCTGGAGAAGCTCAATATCAGCTGTGAAAACTAGTCTCAGAGCTGATTGTGGAACAGACCACCAACTACTCATATGCAAGTTCAAGCTGAAGCTGAGGAAAATTAAACCACGTCCACGGGAACCAAACTATGACTTTGAGTCTATCCCACCTGAATTTCAGAACCATCTCAGGAACAGGTTTGAGGCCTTGAAAAGTAATGAGCGAAGATCAAAGGAGTTGTGGGAGGATATCAAGGGTATCATCAAAGAGTGCAAATGTTCATTACAGAGACAGAAAAGGAAGAAAAGACCAAAATGAATGTCAGAAGAAACTCTGACTATTGCACTGGAGTGCAGAGAAGCCAAAGCACAAGGAAGAATTCAAGATACTAAAGAGCTGAACTGAAGATTTAAAAAGGCAGCGTGGGATGACAAAGTAAAATATTACAATGAAATGTGCAAGGAATTAGAGTCAGAAAACCAAAAATGTCGAACTCGCTCAGCACTTCTTAAGCTCAAGGAACTGAAGAACAAATTAAAACCTTGAGTTGCTATAATCAAGGATGCTTTAGGCAGAGTATTAAATGATCCAGAAGGTATTAAAAGAAGATGGAAAAAATATACTGAGTCATTGTATCTAAAGTAATTAGCAGACACAGAAGAAATGAAACAGCATATGAGCAAGAGCTTATGATGATGAAGTTCAAGCTGCTTTGAAAGAAATATCAAAAAAATAAGGCCCGAGGAATAGATGGTATACCAATTGATATATTTCAGTTAACAGATGCTGC